CTGCTGAAGAGCTTCTTGCATGAAGGTCACAAATGCACAGGGTGCTGGAGAGGGGGAATGTTTAATATTGCAAGATATTACAGCTGAACTGGCCCAGAAATCTCTCTACTGCCCAGTCTCCAAGCACTAGAATCCCTCCCACTTCCTATCAGTGCACCCCTGCCCTGCTTGCAGCTTCCCGTACAAGTTTCCTCCAGAGGGATGGTGCTGATTATGCTGAACGCTGGGGGAATATGTGCTTGTTATGGAGGGAATTGTATCCAGACCTCCCCAGCTCCTTTTCTAGTGGCTCACAGGAGGCCTCTTGTTCAACATATTGGCCTAACCCTGGCCAAAACCCTGGAGGCGTTCATCCCAATTGATCTGTCTTTGCTTGCTTAGAAGCCCTAAACCTCAGGATTTGTCTCTGACTCTACAGGGTCTCCTGGCCAGTGATCCAGACCTGGAACTGCTCCTCAACAAGATCTCAACTGTCAACCACCTGCTTTCTTCTCTGGAGAAAAAGGTGGCTGGTGTTTCTACTCCCAGCACACATTGCTAAGGATGGGCAGGTCACTCTAAAAAGGGGCACATATTTGTTTCACTGCCATCGTGGCCTGTGAACAGCAGGACACAGATTCATTGCCACAAACATGGGGGAAAAAGTAGAGATTAGGATTCCATTGAAAATGCCAACAAAACAATTTTCAAGGTCCCATTGGAAGTGAATGTAAATACAACAGCTGCAGAAGAAACATCCCTTTGTAAATCCTTCCCTGAAGAGTAGGAGAATTACTAGTGGCAACCTTCACTAAAAACCCCCCACTCTGTAGACCAGCTCCTTAAACTCAAGCAAATTCGTGTGCTAAATTCAATTCCCAGGCATAGCAAGCTGCTGCTACGCTGAGCTCTCCAACATGAGAGAGATCACTGTAAGAAATGAGTGATAACTTTAAGAAGAGTTGGGGCTTCTCCCTAGACTGGACTGGATTTGTCACTGCTGGATAATGCTTTATAGTTCCACAACCCCATTTCAGCCAGTTCACTCCTGCCCTGTCTCCCAGCATATATAACCAGCATTAAGACTTTCACAGACCACTCTCCCACCCCTAGAGGAATGATATTCTGCTGATCATTGCTTGGGTTCTTCACATTAATGGCACCAGCACTATCTACCCCAGACATGCCAGATTGTGACAGTTGCTGAGTAGACTTGGCACAGAGTGGGAGGCAACTTACCACAAACAATTCAGCAAGTCAATGAGTGGCAGAACCCAGGAATCCTTGGCAAGAAACCCAAGTACCAGTCTTCTTCTCTGACCACTGGGTGGCACTGCCTTCATTTTAATGTCTTTAGAGAAAGTGCAGTGAGTTATGCCCCACAAGCTTCTCCTGGCCATGGTGGGACATCCCAAATGTCCCCTCCAGACAGGAACATGTAGAATCTCCTGTGCCTATCAGACCCTGATCATCCAATTGGGGCATCTGGATTTTAACCCTTACATTTGTGCTTTTATGTCACTCACCAGGTGTCTCTAACTTGCTGCCAGCCTTTCACTGTCTCTCTCCCCAATAGGTGCTGAAGTCTCTGCAGGAGACAGTGTCCAGGCACAATCTGGCACTTCCCAGCATGGCTGTAGCCCAGACCCAGTCCCCAGCTGCCAAGCCCATGGCTGTCCAGAGCTTTGAGGTAAGGGAGGCCCCTGAGGTTTGGGGAGCCCTTCTGCCTTGCTCACATCCTGGCTGGGAGCTTTGATGGGGCTTTTCCTAAATGAATGGTAAGCTGAGGTGGGCAGGGCCAGCTCAGGCACCTGCACAAGGCATAGGGACTGGCTCTGGAGGAGAGGCAACTGGAGGTGTGGTTTCCATCTTCTCTTGCAGGCAGATGAGAGGATCAACCTGGGGGAAGGGTGTGGTGTAGAGTGAGGCTGACATTCCCTTCCCCCATGAGGGGCAGGAGAAACTAGTGTAGAAAGAGCTAGTTTGCATCTCCCACAGCATCTTGGGGTTCAGATATGGGCAGAGGAAGTCAGCAACAATTACAGCACTTGTCTAGTGAGCTCAAAGGGCTCCAGGAGTATTGCACCCTTCAGGGACGGGAGCTCATGCTCATCCATCCCTGAAGATTCAAACAAAGGATCATGCATGCTCTATAGCTGCCCAGGCAGTGGAAGGTCTGATGCGTGCAGACTAGAGCTGTGTCCTGCCCCTAGTAACCTGGCTTCCCATACCACAGGTTAAAGTGGGCAAACTGCAGAAGGCAACACTGACAGTGGATGTAGAGGCTGGGACTGTGGCCATCATGAAGAGAGGCAGCAGCTCTCCAGAGGAGACCATCACTCAGGACAAAAGTAGGAAAAAAATCTCCACCCCATGGGTTTGGCTGAGGCCTTGGAAGCTGGTAGGGCAAGTAGTGCAGTTTCCATGACAGGTCCCTGAAAGAGGTAGCAGGGAAGGGCCAGGAGTCCTTCATGCTTGACAGGTGGGGCACGGCATCCCCAAGGGTGCCTGGCTAAAGCCAGCATGATGGGCTCCTGCACCTGGAATTATCTGCAGAACAGTGACCCACCACGATACAGGGAGGTAAGCCAGACCTCCCAGATGCACATGTGTGCAGCTCAGTGAGCTCCATGCTGGCCGTCTCCATGCTTCCCTGCGGTGTCATTCCCTGGGGGAGTGAAGGGTGGCTGTGTCCACACCCCTCAGTGCCAGGCTTTGCAGCAACTGCTTCACTGCCTCTTCCACCCTCACAGTGGCCTTCCTGAGGTGTGTATTGGCTGTGCCTTGAGGGCTTGCACTATACCATGTCTCCCTGACCTGGTGTGGCTGTCTTCAGTCTTGCAGCTGATTAAATACCAGAGCATGCAGACCAAAGTGCGGCTGGTGTACGACAGGGAGCAGCACCGAAACCTCATCAGGGACTTCCTCTTCCAGAATGCACGGGTGAGCAAACACCCCCTCCACTGGGGCTTGAGCTATATTGTTATTCCTGTTTTCTGATTGTATTACTGTAGCCCCTAGAGCCCATCCATGGCCCAGGATTTGAACAAGGTGGTTCCTGCCCCAGAGACCTTGTAAACCCAGATAAGATAAAAAACAGCCGTTGCAGGCAGACAGAGAGAGAAGCAGCAGGAAGCAGAAATAGTGCTGGTCAGCTTGGCTGACAGAGGTCTCTGCACACCAGCTGCCTGCCCTTTATCAAGTGGTCTCAGCAAGTGACTGTGGTTTTGAAAGCTCATTTTCCCATGCCTTTCTTCTAATTGACAGGTCATAGGACAGATACATCTAGTGGCTAGACATAGGCTTGCAGTATAAAGCTTAAACATAGGATTGTGTAATTTAAATGAGACATTTAAGCAAACTCAAGACCCATTCTGAAGACCTGTGGTCTGAAGCATGGTAACTAATCTCTCCCCCACCTGCCTGCACTTCTGTGGAGGCTGGCCTTTGGTTCAAGCTGGGTGCTATGTTCTCATGATGTCTGAATCCTGGTTCAGGGCCCAAACAGACATTTCCATTTTTCTCTTGCAGAAGCGAGAGGCTTTCTGCCAACTGCTGCAGCTCATGAAGATCCAGCATTCCAGCCTGGATGAGCCTGACCTCATTTCTGTGTATGTTGGGACATGGAACATGGGTAAGGAGTAGGAGCAGCTCAGGCACCTCCTGGGTGACCAGAGCTCTGGTCATGAATCCAGAGCAAGGTCTGGAGTTGAAATCCCTACAGACCTCTGGAGGAAGCCACACGCAGGGGTTCTGAGATCCTTGTTGAGTCCTACAGGGATGGAAGGTTAGAGAAGGTGTTTCCCTCAGTGGTATGTTTATTGCTTGTCCTTATCTGGGGCTGTTTACACTACAGTGGGTCAGTGTCATAATGCACCTGCCTTGTATTGTTGATGAGTAAACAACAGAGCTGCTGATAAATTGTCAGTGGTGTTGGACATGGGTTTGAATCACAGACACAACGCTTAGATACTCTTGGATGGCCTAAAGGCCACCATCCTACAGGAGAACTGTAAAACCTACAGGCCTGATGTATATTGAGAGTGGATCAGAGAACCTGGCTAAATTCCAGAGGTGCTCACACTTCATTCAGACTGATCCCAGTGCTTAGAGGCCCCTGATATTCCTGCAGTCTGCACCATTTGCTGCAGGAGTGCGGAAGCAGCAAAAAATCTGCTATCTGAACTGATTACTCCTTTCTTCTCAGGCAGTGCTCCACCCCCCAGATCCTTGGCTTCATGGCTGACATCGAGGGGCTCGGGACGGACTCACGATGAAACCACAGCCTGCATCCCTCATGATATCTATGTTATTGGCACCCAGGAGAACTCACTTGGGGACCGTGAATGGGTGGAGTTCCTGAGAGCCTCTCTGAAGACTTTGATGGCCATAGATTTCCGAGTGGTATGGGCCCAGGACACCCACTTAACCTAGTGCTGAAGTAGATGCACTCTGGCATCCTATTCCTGCTTGCTCTCCTTGCCTCACCTGCCCTCTCTGGTTCTGTAAGGAGAAGTGCTTCCTGGCACTGACTCAAGACCTACTAGAAAGACCTAATAATAGTTACACAGGTCCCCTACTCCAAAGCTGTTACATGCAGAGCTGACCCCCCCAGAAATAAGAGGGAATCACCACAGCACCACACTACTTGATGGGCAGGCAGTATTGATGCCCTCCTGGAGGCAGCCTGCTGTTGCAGCTTAGTACTCAGGCTTTTAGATGGTGCATTTGATTTAGGTTCCTTCTTCCTTCACCATCCACTCTGCCTCCTACGGGGCAAAGGAGTCAAGAACAGTGCAGAGACCACAGCTGAGATCTGCCTCTTGCCAGCTTCATTCCCTCAGCTCCCCCTCTGATGTCCCCAGCTTCTCTCTCTCCATCAGACAAGTCATCTGTGGTGCCATTTTCCAGCATATGGACTCTGTGGCGTGGCCCTTTGTGACATTCCTGGCCATGTTCATGATAAGAGAACCAGGAAGCAAGCCTGAAAAACCTCCACTGAGCCTGGACAAAAACAGGCTGCAGTGTAGTGTTGAGTCCCTGGACTGTAGTCCAGGCCAGACCCTGAAAACACGGCATTCTCAGTTCTCAGATTGCCTGGCTTGTCTGCTGGAGGACTGCGGATTTCAACCTCCTTGCTGGGAGCAGTCAGAGACCTCGGATTCCCCTATTCTATGTGATCTCACCTCTTCCCAATTTCATTGCAGGTTGCCTTGCAGTGCCTCTGGAGCATCAAGATTGTGGTGCTGGTGAAACCAGAGCATGAACGCCGCATTAGCCACGTGAACACATCTAGTGTGAAAACAGGAATCGCAAATACACTAGGTGCAGTCCTGGGAAGGGGAGCTCTGGTGGGATGAGGGAAGCGTTCTGGGGGCTGCACTGAGGAAAGGGAGTGCTCCAAGACATCATTGGGGGTGAGGAAAGGGGGAAGTTGGGGGAGTGTTGGAGGGCAGGAATTCTCTGCTGCTTCATCAGGGAGCAAGGAGGTCTCAGCCTCTGTGAGGAGTGGGAACTGAAAAGCATGTAAGGTGCTGCTGGGTCATATAACTGAACCTGCGATGAGGGAGTTTCTCTGGGCTCAGCCCTGACAGGGCCTGCTGTGTCTCCTCAGGTAATAAAGGGGCTGTGGGTGTCTCCTTCCTTTTCAATGGGACCTCATTTGGGTTTGTGAACTGCCACCTGGCTTCAGGGAGTGAAAAGATACACAGGTAACTGGGATTTCAGTCTGGGCCCTGCATCAGTGTGGGACTGGGATGACCAGTATCACTCCCCTATTGCTCATGTGCCTACCCCTGCACTGGCTAACTAGCTCTTTGCCTTTGCTTTGGTCCCAAAGGGAAGCAGCCTGTATTTCAGAGTGGTCTGAGTACTGGGGAGAGAGGCCTGGGCACTGGGCTGGACACGCACTTAACCCAGGGGCTGGGCTCTTCCACCAGCCAGGGCAGATGTATGCAGGGAAGGGGTTGGGGAGAGGCTGAGGTGTTGGGCTGAAGGGGAATGGAATTGGTGAGGGTGGAGATAGACTGGGGAGCTGGTGCCTTTGTGGGGAGGAACCCAGGGATCTGTGGTGGCAGGTAAGCGTGAGAGGAACTTGTGTCCTTAGGAGACCTGCTGGGCATGTCAGGGTACAGGGAACAGTTGTAAAAATACCCCCCAAAAACTAGGAAGAGAGGAGTGCAAAAGGCAGACATCAAAGATTTGCTTGAAGTAAATAAATAAAAACCAATCTACAATCAAGGATGCTTTTCCCCACAACATCTGTCCTTTTTCCACCCACAGTCTTCTCTGCCTTAGAACAAACCTTGATGACTTTTCTCTTAAACTTCCCTTAACCCCAACTGGATAGCAGTGAGGAATCTTAGAGAGGACTTTCCTATCCAAGGCCTTTTGCAGGGCGGTTTCTGTCTGACAGACTGTCTAGCTGATGCAGCTCTTCTTCTTTCATTCCTGGATCCACAAGGGCATGTTCCCACACCAAGGGCCAGGAGGTTCTGGGGCTGAGTGGTAGGGGCACTTAGAGATGTTGGGGATCTTCATTATAACCTTGCTGGTTCGCATTGCCTCTTGCCTCCCTTGTCCGGCACAGGCGAAACCAGAACTACAGTGACATTCTACGTTCGCTGGTTCTGGGTGACAAGAGGCTTAGTGGCTTCGACCTCACCCTGCGCTTCACACACCTCTTCTGGTTTGGAGATCTCAACTACCGCCTCAGCATGGATGTCCAGGTAGGACGCTGATCCTGCTTGCACCCCTGGATCCCTGAGGCATTCCTCACAGCTCCACCCAAAACTAGGCCACTTGTTGGATGCCTCTGGGATTGGACATGGAGGGTATATAGGTGTGGATAGTGAACCAGGGGCACCAGCTGTCCTCTGGGGTCTCTCCATGGTGGAACCCGATGCTGCAAGAGGGGATACAGAAGACCGCTAGCCACTGACAAATTTCCCCTTTTTCCTTCTTAGGACATCTTAGCCCGTGTGAACAAAAAGGAGTTTGAAGCCCTGCTGGTTGTGGACCAGCTCAATCTGGAGCGAGAGAAGAGCAAGGTGTTCCTGCGATTTAGTGAGTGCAACAGCTTGGGGGCAGAAGAGGGCCCTATGCAGCCTTTCTGAGCACTGCCTGCTCCTGGCCTCACCTGTTCACAGACCACATGTTTCTCCTGTCTTCATGGCCAGTCCCTGTGCTCAGAGTTCAATAACCTTTTGTAGCAGATCAAGCCTGACAAGTGTGAAGGAGAGACCTGTGATGGCAACAGATACAGCACAGCCAGGAGAGGGCTTTGCCCTGGGTTTGTGGCTTAGCCCCTGACATGACACAGATAAATGAGTGAACCTGTGAAATCTATTCCCACCTGTGAAAAACACCCAGTCTCCACAGTAACCCCCCAAACCATCCCTGCCTTCAGTATATGCAACTGAGTGTCTCCTTTCAGGGGAGGAAGGGTGTCTGCTAACCAGGACTGAAATAGGTGTTATCTAAAGAGGTGTTGTCACAGAGCTACAGAGAGGAGAAACCCAGCCTCAAACCACATATACACTGGGTTAGGTGGGTTTGGTTTCATCTCAGGGGCTGTTTGTCCAAGTGAGAAAAACCTCCTTCTCCACTGAGTGTCCCAGGGCTTAGATGCAGAGGGGATTCAAGGTCAGAGTTGAGATGTCCAGAAAGAGGAGGGAGGTTTTTCTGGTCTGACAGAACAGTTTTGCTACACTTTTGTGGCTGTGGCATGACCTGTATGGACAGTGTCTGCCTGTGCTGGATGTGGTGATTCTGGTACATTCATGCCTCCATGTCTTTCTGTTCACTTCTTTTCCAGATGAGGCAGACATCTCCTTCCCTCCTACATACCGATATGAGCGGGGCTCCCGGGACACCTATGTCTGGCAGAAGTTCAAACACACTGGGGTGAGGGTTCTGCCCCACAAAGAAGGGGCTTTGCCTTTCTTGGGTGCTGAAAGCCATAGGGAACTGTCCCACAATGTTATCTCACAAGGAGATGGAAGGGGACAGAGAGAGCAGGCTGAACTCTGAGTTCTGGCTGAGCTGAGCCCATGGCAGGATGAAGATAAATGCGGCTTGTGCTGCCCATATTCTTAACCTGGTCCCCAAGCCTTCCATGACATATCATTTGCTTACAGCCATGAGGGAGGAACTAAAGCAGAGAAGTCCAGAGCAAGACAATTGCAGGGCTGTAGTAACTGCATTCACTGCCTCAGCTGATACTCCCTTCCTCTCTCTCATTGCAACCTGTGCTGTCTTTGACCACAGAGCAGCAGGAACCCCACCCCTTCAGTCATCCCCCCTGTGTACACGGGTGAGCTGTACCACTTCCTTCTGCAATGAGCAGAATGGTTACTGCAATAAAAAATAAGTTCAAGCCTGGCCCAGTCTTGCAACCAAAGCTTCCTATCTCCTGGTCACAGATGAGAATCAATGTCCCTTCATGGTGCGACCGCATCCTGTGGAAGTCACACCCAGAGACCCATGTGATCTGTAATGCATACGGTGAGTGGAGCTCCTAGGGAGAATCTAGGCCACAAATGGGGCATTAGCCTGGTACCTCAAGGGCCCAGCCTAAAAACAGTGCCTGGCACAAAGGGATTCTGAGCCAGTGAGTTGGCTTCTGCTTCTGTGTTTCAGGCTGCACCAATGACATCATGACCAGTGACCACTCTCCTGTCTTTGCCACATTTGAGGTGGGAGTGATGTCTCAGTTCGTGCCCAAGAAGGGTAAGGGGGCTTCCCAATGCCTCACCCCAGAGCAGCATCCCACTCCTCTGGGGGATTTGGGGCAGGTGTACTGCATTCCCAACCCTGTGCATATGAGCAGGCTTGGCTGCCACATCTTAATGGTGGCCTACCAGTCTTAATGGGCCTGCCTACCCACCTGTGCTGCTGTTGGGACAGAGGGAGAGCAGGAAGAAGAACAGGGTTTCCCTGGGGGAGTAGGCTCTAAAGAGCTCCCATTCTGACACAGCAAATAGACCTGAGCTGTGACCAACCTTGGTCCCCTGACCCTCCAAGTTGAGAACACCCAACCCCTGCCCTGGTCCAGCAGGGGCCATGTCATCCAGTTTGGCTTAAAGCCCATCAGGGCCCATATGAAAGGCCAAACCTGGGGGCAAGGTGGGGCTCCTTCAACACAAACTGAACTGCTGTTCTTTACCTGGCAGCACCTGGCTCCAGCCCTGAGTCTCTGGCATGCATTGAGTGGGACAGCATTGAGGTGATTGTGAAAACAGCCAGCCGCAGCAGGTGCTACATTGAATTCTACTCCTCCTGCCTGGAAGGTGAGAGCAGCCCTGGAAGGTGAGAGTTCCCTTCTGTGCTGGAGATGTAGCAGGCCCCACAGGGAAGGAGACCAGCAAGGAGTACTTTAAAAAAACCTTATTGAGGGTGCAGGGAGGAACCTTCCTGATGCACAAGAAGACTAGCAAGTATGGCAGAAGACCAGCTTGGCTTAGCAGGGAACTCTTCAGTCAGCTAAAACACAAAAAAGGAAGCTTACAAGAAGTGGAAACTTGGACAAACAACTAGGGAGAAGTATAAGAGCGCTGCTTGGGTATGCAGGCATGAAATCAGGAAGGCCAAAGCACAACTGGAATTTCAGCTAGCAAGGGATGTGAAGGGTAATAAAAAGGGTTACTACAAGTATGTCAGCAACAAGAGGAAGATCAGGGAAAGTGTGGGTCCCTTACAAAATGGGGGAGGCAACCTAGTGACATGAAATGGAAAAGGCTGGATGCTTCAATGGAAAGACTCAGTGGTGGAAAGACTCAATGCCTTTTTCAACTCAGTCTTCACAGGCAAGGTCAGCCCCCCAGGCTACTGCACCTGACAACACAGTTTGGGGAGGCAGTGAGCAGCCAACAGCAGCAAAAGATCAGGTTAGGGACTATTTAGAAAAGCTGGTGCATACAATCCATGGGGCCGGATGGGATGCACCCAAGGATGTTGAGGGAGTTGGCCAATGCTATTGAAGAGCCACTGGCCATCATCTTTGAAAACTCGTGGCAATCAGGAGAGGTCCCAGGCAATGGAAAAGGGAAAATATAGTGTCCATGTTTAAAAAAGGCAAAAAGAAGGATCTAGGGGACTACAGACCAGTCAGCCTCACCTCAGACCCAGAAAAATCATGGAGCAGGTCCTCAAGGAATCCATTTCTAAGCACTTGGAGGAGAAGAAAGTGATCAGGAACAGTCAGCATGGATTCATCAAGGACAAATCATGCTTGACCAACCAGATTGCCTTCTATGATGAGATGGCTGGCTCTGTAGATGCAGGGAAAGCAGTGGACATGATATACCTTGACTTTAGTAAAGCCATTGATACAGTCTCCCACAGCATTCTTGAAAGCAAACTAAGGAAGTCTGGGTTGGATGAATGGATTGTAAGGTGGACAGAAAGCTGGCTGGATCATCAGGCTCAATGGGTAGTGATCAATGGCTCGATGTCTAGTTGGCAGCAGGTATCAAGTGGACTGCCCCAGGGGTTGGTCCTGGGGCTGGTTTTATTCAATACCTTCATCAGTGATTTGGAATATAAGATGGAGTGCACCCTCAGAAAGTTCATAGATGACTCCAAGCTTGGGTGAGTAGTGGATTCAGTGGAGAGTAGGGCTAGGATTCAGAGAGAAGTCAACAAATTGGAGGACTGGGCCAAAAGAAATCTCATGAGGTTCAACAAGGACAAATGCAAAGTCCTGCACTTAAGATGGAACAGTCCCATGCACCAGTACAAGCTGGGAACCAATTAGCTAAGCAGCAGCTCTGCAGAAGAGGACCTGAGGGTTAACAGTGGACAGTAACCTGAACATAAGCCAACAGTGTGCCCTTGTTGCACAGAAGGCTAACGGCATAATGGGCTGCATTAGTAGGAGTGTTGCCAGCAGATCAGGGGAAATGATTCTTTCCCTCTATTCAGCACTAGTGAGGCCACATCTGATGTACTGTGTCCAGTTTTGAGACCTCCACTACAGAAAGCATGTGGACAAATTGGAGAGAATCCAGCAGAGGCAAAAAAATGGTGAGGGGGCTGGGGCACATGACTTCTGAGGACAGTTTGGCTTATTTAGTCTGGAGAAGAGAAGACTGAGGGGGAATTTAATAGCAGCCTTCAACTACCTGAAGGGTGATTCCAAAGAGGATGGAGCTGGACTGTTCTCAGTGTTGGCAGATGATAGAACAAGGAACAATTGTCTCAAGTTGCAGCAAGGGAAGTTTAAGTTAAATATTAGGCGGAATTTTCCTACTAGGAGAATAGTAAAGAACTGGAACAGGTTACCCAGAGAGGTGGTGGAATCTCCATCCTTGGAGGCTTTTAAGACCGGGCTGGACAAAGCCTAGGGAGGGATGATCTAGTTGGAGACAGTCCTGCTTTGGACTAGATGACCTCCTGCGATCCCTTCCAACTCTAATCTCCTATGATTCTAAGGAGGAACCAGGGCTGCAGGTTCCTGGTGTGGGGAGCAGCATTTCCACTGAGGTATCGCTAACAAACACAGTCCTACACAGTACTCCTTGGTGGCCATAGGATGTTTTTCTGTCAGGATTGAGCTGCGCTGCAGGTGTCATTGCCACACTCCCACTTAGGTGACCTTCTGGCAACCTACAATTTCAATTGGATTTGCAGGTTGTCTTCACTTGCTGTCCTAATCTGCTTGTATAAGGCTGATATGCACTGTATAAATAGCTGCTATTGTCGTGCATGAGAGGTGACTGCATTCCAGGAGTGGGCGCAGTGATTTCCACACAAGTCTGTAAAGGGTACTAGGATGCTTCTAGGAGCATAGTAGCAGCAGGACTGGCAGTTCTATCTCAGAGGTGGACAACTGGAATTTGTCCCAGATGGAGACCAGGCTTCATCCATCCTATGGCAATGTGGCCAGTGCTCAGGACAGACTGGAGGGGTTGGTAGTGAGAGAGAGAGGGGAGTAATAGGCTGCAGCAGGAGGCATCTTTGCTTTCATAATTCCATCTCTTGATTCCTCACCAGAGTCTCAGAGGAGTGGAGAGAACAGCTCCCAAAACAGTGACATCCCTGGCTTTCTCAAACTCAGTTGGTCAGCTAAGCAACTGCCAGTGGTAAGCAGTGAGATGGTTGCAGGCATGGGGGCATGTGCATGGACTGGGACTGACATGAGAGGGGCAGGGGTGAGCATGGACAGGGGCAGACCGTATGGTGTTAGGTTCTGTTCACTCTGTCAGGGTCCCTGGCTTCCCATCCCGTAGGCTCTGCGGCTCTCCCTCCTTCATGCTGTCTACCTCCCTGATCAGTGGCACTCCAGATCTCCGCCTACCAACTCTGAGGCTGACATTCCCCTCCTCCATCTGTCCCTGGCTGACCTCCTGAGTTCTCCTTACACAAAGCAAAACCTGTGGTGACCACTAGAGACCATCACTAAGGAATAGTGGGTCACTGCAGGGTTTCTGTTCCTAATCCCAGTGCTCGTGCCCCTGGGCTGTGTGGCTGGGTTGGGGGGCTGCAGCCCTTTCCCTGAGTGTTGTGTTGTCTCTGTGTGCAGCTGAATCCAATCCTTTCGGACCTGGAGTACCTGCTGGACCAGCACCTGCTCCTCAGTGTCAAGGGAGTGGACGGCTGTGAGTCATACGGTGTGTATCTGAAGCAGAGTGGGTTTGGAATGGCCAGGGGGCACATCCACCCCATGGTGGGCTGAAGGGGATGGTGGCAAGGATTTCTACAGGCTGTACATATGCTGCCAGGGCCTAGGCAGGGAATGACTAGGGTCTGGGTGTGCAAATGTGTTTAGTGTAAGGTCCAGGCCACACAGTGACTTCACCTGCATGCTCTTCAGCCAGAGGGCTACAGGGTGCAACCAGCAGCCACATCAGATCTTCTCACACCAGTACAGTTCTACTCTCTAGCCCCTGCTACCCAGGAGCTAGGTGTCCTGCAGAGAGTGTCATGCCCTGTCCTCCAGGCTACACCTAGGACTCGGGGCTTGGTGTTTTACTGAAGATGTCTGCTGAAGCCTGAACTTGTGGCCATGCAGACTGCCTCCCCCTGCCTCCATCAGGAGCAAAGAGCCTCTCCAGCTGTTGGGGCACTAGGGGAACATTCAGGATATTTCTTCCACAGCTGAACTGTGTCTGGGGAGGACACTCCCCTTCAACACCCATGTTCACTGCCCTGGGCATATGAATTGCTCCCTGTTCTTGGTGAGTGTCGTATCATGGTGTGAAGCCTGCCTGCCAGCCTCTGCTCCCAGTTTCTCTCCAGTGGGCCTGTGTGAATGGGAGCAGGATGGCAGCAGCTGCTGTTGATGGGCTCCTCAGCAACTGTGACAATGCCCAACTCTGTGCTCTTTGCAGGTGAGTGCTGCATTGCCATGAGGTCTATGATCAGCAGTCTGGCCCAGCAGTTTGAGACTTTCCTCTACCACCGGGGTGAAGAAACAGGTTCCATGCGTGGCTGGATGAAAGTCCGAGTTCCCAAGGACAGACGCAGCACTCGGGAGAGGCTCTATGGTAATACAACTATGCTGCTGAACTGCTTTTACTCCAGCTGCTTCAGAGATATGGGCCTCAGTTCATCACTTGAGGACAGGATGGACCTGGAGGAGCTGGAAGTGCCTGTCCCCTTCCCTGTGGCACCAGTGAGAGGTCTGGCCTGGACTGACTGGGAGCTCCCTGCAGCCTTCAGTCTTGGCCCATTCCTCCTGTCAGCCAGGGCTGTTGGGCAGTCTAGAAGGAAAACCTTATTTCCCTGCACCTCTGTTAGCCTACATAATCTTTTTTTCTCTGCAGAGTGGATCAGCTTTGAGACAGATGCAACAGAGTCCCCTGAAGACACCTCACCCTGCACCAAGCCATCTCAGCAATCTGTCAGGTAACTCTACCTGTGTTCTGCATCTTGGGCACTAACCCTTTAAGATACTGTTGTTGCTAGTCCTGGGCCTCTGATGGGAGATAATCATTTTTGTTTCCATGTCCAGATGAATGCAGAGGTGAATTGCAGCTGTTTGCTTGCCTGCAGAATTGTCAGTCATCCCACATAGACTGACATGGTTGTCTGTCCCTCAGAGTATTAGGGAAGTCTGCCAGTTTGTTTCTGCAAAGATCTAGGATTGTGTCTATCCTCTGGAGATGTCCATTTTTTTTGTCCCAGGGTGCTGAGATTATCTGCCTGGTGGAGTTGTGTGTTTTTTCTAGGAGTGGAGTGTTGGAACTTCTTGTAGGAGGAGTGGTAGCACCAGCCGCTGGGAGACACTTTGGGACAGGGTTGATTTACATGACATCTATTTGCTCTATTGTGTTTTAGGAGCCGGCCCTTCAGCTTCCCTGAGACAGCCAGTAGTTACACCAATCCAGCTTACTTCATATTTGAGGGAGTCCCTAATACCTGGACACTGGGTACAAACCTGCCGGAGCCTCCCTACAGTTCAGCCAGTGATGTGCAGGAAGAAGCGTGCCTGGGCCATGTGCCAGGCCACAGGCTCCGAAGCCTGGCAGGAGAACAGACCTGCTCCTCCTCAGGAGAACCGCTGCAGAGAAGCCCCCATTACTCTGTGCCTGTGAGCATGTCATATGGGCATCAGCTCAGCCCTCTCCAGTCTGGAAGGCACAAGAGGCCCAAATCAGCTCTGCTGCTGAGAGACATGCCAGCATCGAGTGACTATTCCCTCACAGCCTTGCATTTGGCCAAGCACCTCAGTGACCTGGACACAGAGCCTCACAAGAGGGGAAGCTGCTTGGGCACCAGCCAGCTGAAGAGCCGGAAGAACCCATTGCGCCATACGCGCAGTGCACTGGAGCCTCCACCACAGGACTGTCGGGAGGGGACAGTCTTCCTGCAGAGTAGTCACCAGCTCAGCCATGACCTAGAGGTATGTCTTGGGAGAGGTTTCTCTAGAGCACAGGTGCTGGAGCATGCCCTGCTGCCTGGTCATAAAACCCTGAGCTTGGTCAAGGCTTTTCCCTGGGCCTAGAAAGGGCAGAGGGATATGGAGGACTCACCTCTGGGGACCTATGTGTAAGACACACCATCAGCAGTGAATTAGAGTTTTCCTACTCTAGTTGCATTGCCCTCTTCATACTAAGCACAGCATCCCATCTGAGTTATGAAAGGCGTAGGGATGGAATATGAGGATGCTGCAGGTTAGAAGGTAGGTGGAGTAGCAGGGATGTTGTGGGTCCAAATTCAGGGAAATCAGCAGAGCTGGAGATGAGGGTAGGGTTTTTTTTTAAGCCCCTTGCTGCGATACAGCTGAGCCACAATCTTGTTCTTCTCTCTTAATGGCTTGGTGGCAGGAGTGAGCATTCCTGGAGCATAGGCATGTGTCTGAGTCACTTTGGCCTGGAATAGTAGGAGGATGGGTTATTTGAAAATGGCCTGGAAGATACAGTGTTCTTCAGGTATCTTTCCTGTCCTGGGGCTCACAAGGGTATTGAGGGTATGTGAGAGATTATTGGCGTATGTCACTTTTGCTTCCTACTGGGGAATGACTGTCAAACTGGTGTGTCCTCTAGGCGTCCTGGTTGAGTTATGACCACAGAGGCTGGGGATGGGGGCAAGAAGCTAGATCCTCCTAGTTCAGTCTATGCAGAGCACTCTGGAAGGAGAATGCCTCTGAAACCCCAAATCCCTTTGGTGTCCAATAGCCATGTCTGGTGCAGGTGAGGCCTGGTCTGCCCTGCTCTGTGCTACATTGCTGGCTTCTGTCTTTGTTGCTTTCCTCTTCTCTCTTGTCTAGAGACACCGTCGTACAGGGCCTGTTGGCAGCCGCAGTGCTGAACCCCACTCGCCACGTGCTCCTCCAAGTCAAGCTTCACAAGAGCAACTGTGAAGGCCTGCAACAGAGACCCAGCCTGAAACTGAACTCCAAGGGCTGCATTAAGTCTGGCATTCACTCACCTAGAAGTCCTTGTACTCCTCAGGGAAATGGCTGGGAGCATGTGGAGAGGAGCTATGGAAGACATTGTGTCCCAGACAGTGGCAGTGGGCCAGGACTGGAGATCACTGAGCTAAGAGCCTCTGGATTTAAACCATTCCCTTTGCTGGCTTCTTTTGCCATCTTCACTGTCACACTGATTTCATCTTGTCGCATGGTGGCAATTACAGGAAGTTCCCTGTGCATCTGACTGAGGCTGTACCAAAGCAGGGAGTGCTCATGTGTCTAGCCACAATCCCAAACTCTTCTGCCTCACACTATGGAGAGGGGCTGGGATTTCAGAGAGGCCAAAACTTATAGGCAAGCTCCAGTTGAGATTCTGGCACTCTCTCAAGCAATTTTCTTCCCTCCCTGTCTGAACCATAGAAAGTTCCCAGCCTCTTCTTAAAGGACTGTTAGGTCTCAACCCTAATGCTGAGCCCAGTGCTCTAGCTACACTCAGTCCAGCACAGCATGAGTTGGGGGAGGTGAGAACCACAGGGTTCATGTGCCTCGGCCACAATAGAGCTCTTGTGGTCTCCAGTTTCCGATGCTGCAATACCAGGGTGCTTTGCAGTTAGTTGACACAGTCTTGGTTTCTCAAGGGTTTCAGCTGCAACATCATATGTTGAGCAGGTCCCCAGCACTGTAGCATCCTGGCACCTCTCAGCTCTGCCTTGTGGAGAATGCCCCGGCTAAACCCAATGGAGTCCAGGCTCCTCCTATCCTGGAGCACACCTAATCCTTTCATGAGAGCCCAGACAGCATCTCAGAGCTTGCAGGGCACTCCCTACCATCTTCCCCTCAAGTGTCTTACTCCGCCCTATGGGGGTGCTCACTGTGTTTAGTTACAGTTTACATGTGATTTTTCTAAAGGCTCCATGTTGCTGGTTTCTTATGAGATGCAGTTTCTATGTCAATTAACAATAAAACCCCAAAGCTATGAGGAAGCTCCACACTGAATTCACAGTCTGTCTTCTTTGAACTGTGTGCTTGACAATATGAATTTGGTGTCTCTAGCAAGTGAAGGGTAATGATACTGGCTAGAGCCAAGCAAATTGTGGAGATGTAGAGTACAGGCAGGCAGGCAGTCCTCGACTTAAGATGTTTCGCATTACAATGAATGGCATTTACAACGTTTATAAATTGACACCCTGTTTCAACTTTCTGACATAATTTTTGACTTAACGATGCTTGATCCGACGCCACGCCACACCAGCAAACAAGTTCGCTGCGTAGCCTGTCTCCCTGGAGAACATCTGTCCAAATTTCTCTGGACACTTTCTTTAAGAAGGCAGACAAGACTCCAGGAAAACCTGCAGCCAAGACTCCTAAGAAGATGCCAGCCAAGAACCCTTCAAAAAGTCCACCAAAGTCACCTCAAAGAAGTCCTTCCAAATCAATATGATTGCTATTTACAATATAAATACATTTATGTAGCTATATTACTCATCTATAATTGATTGAGTACAAAATTCTGGGTTATTTTTGGTGAAAATAGGGTATCAGGCCTTGGTTCAGGAATCAATCCCCCATTTATAACATTGTTCCTATGAGAAAACTGGTTCCAAGCTACGACGCTTCGACTTAAGACGTGGTTTTCAGGAACCAATAGTGTTGTAAGTCCAAGGACTGTCTGTACAAGATTTCCCTACCAGACAGTGCTGTCATGGATACATGGGGTATATGGTGTCTCCAACCCTTACATAGGCTGTCAGGGATTATACTTCTTTTAGTGCTGGGCTGCAAGTCTCCAGCTTTTGCAAGTGGAAGCCTCAAGGCTCCACAACTGAAACTGGGTCCTGGCTTCAACAGAAGCGTGTCTCGCTGTGGTTCTTCCAGCAAGTCCAAAAGAATCAGAACTGAAGTTTTCCCTTTGGTGACCAGGTAGCCAGCAGATGTTTGCTGTGGCACAGCCAAAAATGGACAGCTGTCATCTGGAGCAAAGGATTTTAGAGTCTTTAGGTTTAATGGAAGAGCTAAGCTACCCACCTGATTGCACAACCTGCCTCCCTGGTCCAGAACATCAAGGATTCCTTTTCCCTCACTGTACTGGGCAGCCAAGGGCTTATTACCACATCCCAAAATCTCAGGTCTTTGCTTGAAGTTCTACTTATGCAGTTTTTACATGTTCTTGACTTTCCCATTTTGCTGAGGTAGCTCCATTCATGTTGATGGTTCTTGAGAGTTCATTCATGACAACCCTGATGTGCCTATGTGACATACACATATTTCATCACCCAGCTGTAGAGAAGGAAGTATCCCTTTCTGTCCTAGCAAGTCATCGTAGAAGAGTGAATGGGAAAAACAGAGAGACAAGTTCCTTAAAAATAACACAAAAATTCCCCATACTCTCCACAGCTCATATCTCCAAGATGACCTGTGGCACTTCTACTGCGTTGCTCTGCTGCTGAACTCCCTGCTGTTGTAAGCGCAGACATGGTGGGGAGAGGTGTTTGTGAGCATTTCACACACACACTCCAAATATGGCTGCTCCTGGGGGATTTCACACTGGCTTTCATACAGGCCCATGGCAGTCACACCTCTTGCTTTGTGTTTCTCCCATTCCACAAAGGTATCAATCTGTCTTTTAAGCGATTCAGCCACCCCCAGCCCAGATCACACATGGAGATGGACTCATGCCATGTGACCCACCATGTGTTTCAATGAGGTTCATAGAGGACATTGAGCAAGATTTTGTTTTCCTTTGGGCACATGCTTTAAGTACAGTGTGTCGGAGCAGACTCCCATGTCTCATGTGTCAGCATTTCTGCACTGAAAAATGGCGGCAGGGTTGCTTTAACTAAAGCTCTTCGACAAGCTTAAGTTAAAGCGTCCCCACCACCATTTTTCAGCATGGAGCCTCTGATACACGAGACACTCCAAGCACTTTAATTAGAGTGGCTCACAGAGACAAATTCTTTGGCTTGCTGGGAGTGGAGGCAGCCCTCGCAGAGAACAGTTCCCAAGGGGCACAATTAAAACAGTTCCTGCGGTCCTGTGGACTGCGTAGAAACTTCAAAAAGAAAACTTTGAAGGACAGGTCAGACCTACCTCACTGGGTCTGAACTGGGCAGCAAAAGCTATACTGCACTGAGGCATGACCATATAGCTGGGGTTCGGCCACGCAGCTAGGCTGAAACACCATAGCTGTAGAAACAGCAGAAAAAAAGGCCCAGACCTATGACTGTGGCCTGGACATCCGGTCTCAGCTATACCCCATGCTGAGACAATACGATTACAAAACAGAGGGGGCCAGGCCCCTGTAGCCAGTAACTGCCAGCACCCATTCCTGGGTGATTAACACCCCCATGGTGTTAACCCACTTAAGAAAAAAAGAAAAGTAAGAGGGAGGAAATAGGAGTCTCAAACTCCAAAACAGACTTCCTCTCCCTCTACCTGTGGCTTTCTCTTCAAATAGTGTTTGCTTGCCTCTCCAGCAAAGAGAGGGGGAGACCTTCCCCGCCCATGGGGAGCAGGTTTTCTGGTTCCCAATATAGCTGTGCAGCTCTCAGCAGGCAGATGAATTAAGACCCCCAGACCCTTAGTGAGTTGTTCATATACACCTGGTGTGAAATCACCCAAGCCTTGTCCACATTTCTATACACCTGGTGTGAAATCACCCAAGCCTTGTCCACATTTCTATACACCTGGTATGAAATCACCCAAGCCTTGTCCAGTCTGGGAGGGTCACATTTCAGTCTTTCTCCCAACCAATCTGCCCGAAGAATCCTCTGCTTCTTCTGCCCAATGAGCCCAAAGGGCTTTACATATTTTCCCCAGATATGGGCCACAGCTTGCCATGTGCTGAGCACGTGGCCAGAGCAACAGGGGTCATCTTGCCTGTATCAAAACACACACACACGGGAAAAAAACCACAACACACAGCTCAGTGTAAATGTAGGTGTTACATTAGAAAGTGAAGTCACCTGGGTTTCTGGTGAGATGATTCCTGGGCCAGACACCTCAGAGGAGCAGGCAGCACAAGGCAGTTGGGGCTGCACAGACAGGACAAGGTAGTGAGGTTGGGTCAGTGCAATGCAACACTGCTGTCTCCGTGCAATGTGCTATCAGGGAAGCTGGTTGATGCAGAGAAGCACTAATAAAACCAGTTCCCAGAGGTACCCCCAAAAGAACTACACAGCAAGGAGCTATGACTCTCCTCCTGAGTCAGAGAGTCTTTGTCCCTGGCCACCCTAACTGGAATCTAGTGAGCACTGTCCAAGGGCTGGGAGAAGAACTGGGAAAGGGAGACAGAAGCCAAGAGGAGCAGAAGGGAGGGTTCATCCATGTGTGATGCAAGTGCCAGCAATTTCCCTCTCCCCTCAGCAGATTCCTTGCTTTCACTGCCTTCCATGCAGCAGGCTGAGCCAGAGCAGGTGATCTCCCCTGCAGCTCCGCAGACCTTTCTATGGGAATGTCACAGTGGGAATGGGCATCCCCTGAGGGCTTTGAGAGTTTGTTGCCTATTTCAAGGGCCTAAGATTCAGGCAGATGAGGGGCTGAATGTGTCTGACATGGAACCAGAGAAGGACAAGGAGACTGTACAGAGACAGAGGGAGAAGGAGGCTACTGAGGGCAGAGGGACAGGTCCACAGAGCAGGAATTGGCAGAGGCTGCACTCCCCACAAGGGCTGGCTCTGTGGCCCTCCAAGCAGCAATTTCTCCAAGAGGTACATTATGCAGCTTTGCTGCTCGGAGGAAGGGAAGCTGGCACTGCCCCTGCCTTGCCCCGCCCCCGCCCCTCCCTCTTTGGCACTTGCACAGAGCAAGTCTGAAACTGCAAGTGTCCGGGGAGACGGAGCAGCGTGGTGATGGTGGTGACTGTGGAACAGACTGGTCAGGGATGGGAACCAGCTGGGGTCCAGCTCAACACAGGGATGCACAAGGCCTGAGGCCCTGACACGAGGGCAAGAGGTGAAGGGGA